TTTCAACACAAAGAAGGGATAAAATGGATAATACTAACAAATTAAATACAATAAGCCTAAGAACATTTAAAATAGAGGATAGTCGATGACTACAGTAAAATAAGTATTAATTTTCTTTTAAAATAATGTATAAAAAGAAATAATGTATCTGTTATTGCCAGTATGCCCACTTATCAGTTTTTGTGTTCGATCACGGCACATTAAAATGTTTTTACAATTTTGTGCGCGGAAAAAGAAATGTGTTCGGTTTTAATCAGACTAAGAACACCCAGGACCAAGAAAACGGTAAGGTAACGTACCGTTTTCAGAACCTAAAACTCGTACCGTTTCAGGGTCTTAAATACATCGCTTTTTCACCGTTTACGGATCGTTTTGTAAACGTTTTCTTACCATTTACTAGCCGCTTTTTGTCGTTTCGAGAGCGTTAACGGGCCGTTTTTCTGCCCTCTTAAGAAAACGTTAACTGGCCGTGTTTTTGACTTGGGCTACTATATTAACTCCTAAAAAACTTTTCGTCCAACTTCGTCATACTGACCTATCTGTCGAATCTACCCGTTCGCACTAATCATCTAACGGCACTATTATTATATTATAATTTTTTTTGCTTACCTGAAAATATCGACATTCGAACATCAGAACGTGTGCTTGCCAGTCTGTCGCTGTAACTATATAGCACGTCGTTAACCGACCGTACGAAATGCTTCGATTAAAGTGTCTCCAATTATCCTGTACCGAGTAATTAGAGACACTCCATTCAAAAATACATGGAGTTTTAACGTACAATTACTGGCTAATGAAGCTTAGATTATAATTAGTTCAAAAATGTCTCATTTAGAGCCCGGACCTTGCTCTCTCTTCCATATAGTTTGGAGCTCATTATCCTTTAAAGTCATTAAGCTAATTAGCATAGATTCAACAGTACTAGAAATTCTCTTTTTGCTTTTTTTATGCTTTGGGGTAAATAGAGACACTCGTGTAATTGTGAAAACTACGCAAGATAACATCAAATTGTCCGACATATGTCCCATTTCAAGAATTCATATCACATTAACTTCAGGCACGGGAAATGTATGGTTACCGTGGATTGAATTTGAAGTAGTGGATTTCTAAACAATATAGATACTAAAACAATGATGTGCTAACCGGCCGGTGGAAAAGTTCAACCGGATCGGACGGGTAACCGGTCAACCAGCCGGTCCTGTACCGGTTCACGGTCCGATTCTATCTCTGGTATTGTCTAAACAAAATGCACTGTCCATGTTAATTCATGCTTGCTTTGTCATAATAAAAAGTCGGTGAACTATAGCAACCTAACTAGGAGAAACAACCTATCTCAAAAAATCACTTACATCTAGCGACTTTCTTAATATAATGCAACTCAGTATCAGAATTCACCTTTACAAAGAAGGACGAACGCGAACATCGACCTAACAGACAGATTATTTCATTTCCCTCAAGCACATAGTTAGGTATGAGAAAGGAGATAATTGTTTGCAGAAATACTTTATTTTGAGCGAAAAGAATTATTTACTTTGTAAATGAAACTTAGAAGTCATAGAATAAAGAAGCAAATCTGTTAGCTGTCGTCTGTTAGCTCACGAGGGAACCTCTTTAGGTGTTAAACCGCTTTTCCCTCGGGACCCTTGCCCATTCGATAGGTCCTACTCAGTAGTGAAAAAGTCTAGAAGGGTTTGGATGCATGGCTCTTCTGGACTGAGATATCGAATTATCAAGTTATGATCGAAATAGACTAAAATATCAAAGGACGGGCAACGGTTTCTGCTAGAAAATGGCCCGATATGATTTTGAGTGAAAATGATCGGAAATGCTTTTCACTTCCCAACACTTCCCACGTTCAAAAATTCCTTCTGGTGTCTTTCAAACAAAAATTACTTTTCATTTTTCGCCACCAGTTCAACAAAAGCCATTTACTTTTTTCCGCAAATATCTCGTCCGATTTCAAAGTCCTTGAGCAAAGCTCATACATAGTAACATAGAGAATTTTCTGGGCTTCAAAATGAGCTATAAACGAGATTTTCAAAAATCTGCCCGTACAGGAAAATTGTCGAAATACTAGAAAGATATCATCATTTTCACCTATCTTAGCACTTTAAAGGAATATTTCTTGAACTTATCTACTCAGAACCGGAATGTTTTATATATGAAAACATAGAGAATTTTTCGGCTTCAAAATGAGCTATAAATACGTCTTTCGAAAATATGCCCACATGGGTCAATAGTGGGAATACTTGATGGATGTCATGATTTTCACCTATCTTAGTGCGTTAAACACACTTTTAGTCAATGCCGTAATAAAAAATTATATATTTTTCGAAAACATACCATTGGATAGCCCTTTAAATTCTCTACAAAGTGAGCTGGTCAGAATATCCAGACAGATTGGGTCAGTCATTAACGATATCGAAGAGAAGCGTTTGAGTGTTATCTATGCAGTACAGTGTGTCATAATCACAAGAACTCCTTTGTTTTTTATTTTTCGGTAAAAGCTGGGACCAGTCTGAATACTGTTTTGGATAGCCCGAAGATTTTTCTAACAGATGAGGTGCATACGGCCGTTTCATGAGAAAAGTTGATAATAGGGTTTTTGGAAAATCTGACCGCTAGAAAACCAAGTCCTTGGTTTCTGGTCAGCAAATTTTGCAAACCATATAGCCTGATAGAGCAAAGAATTCTGAGGAAAATAAGACATCTCCAAGCCGTCTAAAAATTCATTTATCGAAGAATAATTACAGTCAATTAGACTTACTTTCTCACATAGTTTGCAGTGATAAGTATTTGGAGCTATTAATTTAAAATAACTTTTTGTAGAAGGTTTTGACTTTGGCTTTGGTGTTGTTGAAGCGGACGTGGAAGGCTAATTTTGATGGTTTTCATCGTCTGATACTTCAATTGACATTCGACTTAATGCTGGTCGCTGACCTGAGCAATTGAACTTCTCACTATTCTCTTCTTCCATCTCCTCATTTTCATTGTTTTCCTGATTCACTTCCATGTTACTTTGATCGTTTCCATCATCAACCTCCATCACTTCGTTATTCGTTCGTCGTTGTTTTATATTTGCTCGAATAGTTAGATCACGTCTGCCCGGTGGACGCCGTCTTTTCTATCTGTGTTCTCTCACGAGTATTAATTCTGATTTTCCGCGTTCACGACTGTTTGCTCGTTGTCGCACACTTCGTGTGATTGTACTACGGGCTTGATAACTGTTTCGAAGACGAGGGATGTGATAGAGTATTTTCTCTTACCAGTAGAGTATTTTGATCAAGACGAGACAAAATTCATTCGGATTATGTTCATCATCAATTGAAGAAGACATTTTACCACTTCAATGTTAAAAAGTCTGTGTTCAATAGTTTAGTGTAGTTTAGTCGCTTTTATGTGATGAGATGTTTTTCAAGCAAGTGTACGAAATCAATTGACACACTATGAATATGTCTGTCGTGATCACAAAATAATCGTGAATGAATGAGAAAAAATGGCATTATCAATTCGAAAATTTGCTCAAGTCGCTTATGCTTGTCGTTTTCATAGCTATAAAGATTTTATTCTGGCGCGAGATTTAATCAATAAACATTTTCCAATCGATAATAGTGCTCTTAAACAATGGGAAGTCGATTGCACTTCAGGTATTATTCTTATCACTATGCTCCATTTACTTCTTACTTTTCAAATGTTGAAAATGTATCCGTGCAATACAATACAAATTCAAAACCATTGAAATCGTTAGAACATTTGATAGCTATATTTCCACCACATTATGCGAATTATCCTCCAAGAAAGTGGCAACAATTGATGGTGGATAAAAATTCACCAATTAGTGAATTTTATCCAATCAATTTTGATATTGATCTTAACGGTAAACGACAAGAATGGCAAGGCATTATTTTACTACCATTCGTTGATGAAAAGCGTTTACATGAGGCTCTTGAATCTGTGTATCTAACATTAACTCCAGACGAAGAAAAACGTAATAAATCTGATTATGATCATTTACTTATTCATTCAACACATTCATGTTATGAACAAGTGTTGAATGAATAAATAAAGTTAATAATATCAGTTGTCAAAAAATAAAAGAACAGCTATTGTAGATTGTCATCGACAATCAGTATCACTTTTTCGTAAATGTGAACAACCAAATAAATATTTCTATGAAAATCATAATGAGTTCTAAAATTTGAAATTGCTAAAAAATCTTTGCAGAATGGTCGAATCATGTAAGAAAAGTTAGCAGTATATTTGAGTTTTTGCCCTGATTATTTCCGAGATTACGTGAGCCACTCAGTGAACATACCGAGTCAGATAGACCTTGGCGAACTCTATCTAATGACGTATTTAGTTCCCTCTCATCTATCTTCTTTCATAAGAAATCTTCAAAATAATCAATTTTTTTCATGGGGCCAAACCCGTGCTAGCGTACTTCTCAAAACGATTCGACCTAATGCGCGAGCTATTAAATCGACGTACGCAGATCGATACAGCTCGACGAGCTCTATCAGATGACACATTTTACTCTGTTCAGACCTTGCGGCTAGCTTGCCATTGTCACCATTTCCAGTGGTCACATAGAGACTATGCCGATTTGCCCTGAAATGCGAGCCACTCGTGAATCTTGCATAGATCGACGCGTCTTGTCCAGAACTATCAAAACATGTCCTTTCAAGTTCAAAAACTGCATTTGAGTCAGTGATTGTTAGCAGCCAGAACATTTCTCAATAGTCCTTCCAAACGTCGATTACCGAGACATTCGATATCAAGTTTGACGAGTTGGACACTTTTGTATAGCTGTTGTCTTTTCTGGCACTTAATATCCAGGATTGTCGCAGCAAACTGAAAAGCGTCTACGACGCTTTGATTTCGTGAAAAAGGACTGAAAGGTTCGGTTTGACAGATTCATTTTCTCTATAGTACAGTAATATTTCCTATTTAGTGATGATTGTAAGTAAATATATCAAACTTCGATAGTATTGCTAGGCAGCGTTTCTTTGCCAATATTTATCAATAGGCTTCATTATTGCTATGTCAGAGATGTTTTCTAGGGTATCACAATGGAAGTTGTTAGTGAGAAAGAGTTGTCATGCCTGTTCCTCGCGCGAAAAGACAGTGGAAGAAAAACTTGGGTTGATCAGTATAAGAATGAATCATGTTTCAACTGCCGTACACTAGTTTATCACCACATGCATTCAATAAAGGCACATTTTGCCTCCAATGATGGAGATAAGAATCGAAAAAGATTAGTCTGCTACAGCAAGGTGAAAAGAGAGATACTCATTATTTTCTTTTTCGCTGTCATCAGTTCTTCGAGGCGTTACTTGATAAAGTCAGCTACTTGTATACTGTGAGTAATTTTCTACCGAATGCACAGAAGATTTGTGCAATATTTCCTAAAGCTTTCTCATTAAAAGCAAACTGTTTCCACGAAGAATGTCACAAAAGCCCTGAAGGATTTAAAAAATTGAGTATCTCTTGAATAATGTGATTAAACTTACTTTGCTGACTGTTCAACTGTTTCACCATTATTGACTCCTGGCATGACAGATTCAGAGAGTTTCAGAGGATTCCCTGATGAGATGTGCTCATTTATTTTAGTTCAGGCATTTTCTTGACAAAAAATTCCAGCTATCGTTTTGCACCAATCTTTTTTTTCAAAAGTGCGCTTAAGCAAGTTCATGGGATCAATGAAAGCATATCTATCTCAGCATAGGAAATGGTCAAATTTATGCAACACTTCTTCGAACCACAACATGCTAAAATGACAATGAAATGGTAATAAAAGCTGAGAATAGTTATCAAAAGTTTTATCAAGTGCTGACACTTGAGTTGTGTTTTTTTTTTCTTGAGTAGTGTTTTTTTCTTGGTACAGGTTTGAGAGCTTTTGGCCTAGAAACGCAGAGACAAGCAACTAACTCCCCCATCCACTTTGCGGAATTCAGAAGCGTTCACTTCAATGACATTATATCCCAGTTTCTGAATGTTTGCTTTTGTGATTGGATATCCAGCAGGCATGATCACATTCTCATTGACCCAGATGCAATTTGCAGCATACTCTTCCTCTTCAGGTACAACCACAATGTTGTACTTTTGGAACTCTGGCTTACTGATAAACTCACCTGCAGCCAGTAAATTATTATTCTCCAAATAAGTAAGTCCCGTCTTCAAATGGAGACCCTTTAAATACCAAACAAATTCATTACAAGACAAGAACGAAAATAATTGAAATACCTTCTCGAGTTTGACAACAGAGCCAGTCATTCCATACTTATTCAGAATTGCAATGAGTTGAGCAGCGCCCTCAGCATTTGTTCTGGTAGATGCCCCAATGTAATAGTGATCACCAACCATCATGACATCACCAGCATCAAGCGTTCCAGGAGCCTGAATGCATTCAATATGCTCATAGAACCTGCGAAGTACGGGCGTCATGAGTGAAGCTTCTCCACACCTACTGTCAGCACCTGGCAGTGTCACAATGGCGCACTTTGGTGTGCAGAGAGCAACATCCTCCACAAACACTGAATCGGGGTAGTCTTCTAGAGACGGCAATATTGTGATATCAACCTGAGAATGTTAATTAATTGAGTTAATGCTCACAGGTATGTCATTCAATCATACCTCACAAGTTTGAAGTGCACGAATGTATGAATTGTGCTGATCAAGTAATTCTTTGTAAATAGGTTTCCCCAAGTTAGCAGATGTAATTCCATTCACAATTTGACTACAGGGTGTCCTGCAAACTACGTGCTCAAACTTCCTCATTTTGTCCTATCTAAAAAAAGCAGATTTTGGCCAAAACACAAAAACGTTTTTTTAGCTGACATCATCTTATTCAGTATCAGTCAAAAAACGATTAAATGATGTGAAGATCCTCATTGTCACATCACAATCAGAAACAGGTCTAGACAGAGGAAGGCACTCAATAATAGAACTTCTTTTTGTTTGTTACATCACTACAATATACTCACCATAGGTAATGTGATGTGTGTTGTCACTACTGGGAATTACCCACCATAAAAATACCCACATGTGTATTTTTATGGGTATTATAATACCTACTAATACCTATATGTGTATTAAAGTGGTACTATGGTATCCATTGATAAATCAAATGGATATACATGTACTGTGATACCCACAGTGATCTAAATAAGCAGATATATCTTCAAATATATCTACAAAACCACATTCGTAAATATATCCACAAAAACCAGATCTACAAAATCTTAAACTTTAAAAGAAACAATGCTTATAGGAAATGTTTTTATGAAAGCAAATCAGCAAAGCTTTAATATTTTTGTTTAACATGAATGTTTACATTGATAATAAAGGATCAAGCCTGCAGATGAAATCAAGGAGGGCTTGGTGTTAAACATAGAAGTGTAGTCAGTAGAGCAGCAGCACTATTTGCAGTGGTGCAGCACGAAGCAGAGTAGTGACTAAGGTAGTGGGTTACCGGACAGATCGTCGCAAGGCCAAAACGTTGCAGATGATGGTGAGGGCTGAGGGTGTGGGTGAGGTTGCATGGAGTATCCGCATCCCAAGTGCACAGAGTTTCTAATATCACAGGTTTGCTAGCGCTTCGTTTTTAACCGTAAAAATGAGTTGTAACATTTTGTCCTAGCGCCAAGGTGGTGCAGTAGCAAGACTAAAGAGCAGATATGTTTTAATCAAAGGACATACGGGAAAACTCAGGTAGTGTAGCTGTTGAGCCATTAGTCAAGGATCTTCAGTAACATAAAACAGATATCAAATATACAGAAAGAAAACAAAACAAAATAAAACAAATTGAAAGAGTTCAGTTTATAAAAAAACTGAAGAGCTGCTTTTGCTATGACGCTGTGGTGCTCTGGTGATATCATGTGCTGTGGTGTGGGCCTGTGAGATGAGGCCCTATTAGTACAAAATAAAAGCTAAATAATAAAAGATAATTAAACTTCTAACCAAACAAACCAAAATAAATGGTCACTGATAAAACATAAGAAAAAGCAGGCAAGCAGAGAGCTGAGATAACTGATAAAATGCAAAAAAATAAAAAGCTGTTAGCACAATTCCTGCAGAATTAAGAGAGCCTGCATCAGAACATCGAGCATTTTCTTAGAGGGCCATTAAGTGAAATTTTTTGACCTATACTTTTTATTACATATTCGGATTCAGTACATCAAACTGTGGTTATGAAAAAATTTTTTGGGAGTTCTGCCCAAATTTGACCGAGTTATGGGCATCTTAAT